GACTTCCTTTTCCACCTCAATTCTCTCCCCCACCCCCTCCATGCCCTTACACATCAGTCATTTGCATTGAAGCAGCTGACACTTCACTCGCTTAATGGTTTTGTGGTTGTTTCTAAGAAAGCTATTTGAGTTCCCTAAAGGTGTGGCTGGTCTGTGTTCCTACAGGTTGCTGTTCCTGTTCTGTTTTCAAGCCTATTTGTTCTTATTTAGCAATCTAAAGAGCTTCCTCCACGTGGAGCTTTGCATATCATACGACCAGATGCAAAGTGCTCCTTTCAAGGTGTCTGCAAGTCAATGAGCCCCCCCCGTAATCTCCCTTACCACGATTTGTGGTATGGTTTCATGAGCCTATCAGACTCGCTGACCTGGCTTCCCCTCTATATTGCTCTGCATAACTTGGCACAGAATGGCCTAGCAAGCTCCACTTGGCTCTTGGCATCCATCTTCCAGGAAAGGAGAGATGCCACAGCAGCTGCTATACTGTCTGACCGCCATCCAACCCACAATCCACTGTCTATGACCTGCCAGCATTAAATAAATTTGACCTTGAACATCCAGGGACTCAGACTGGTTACTGTGGTTCCCAGTTGTCCAGACCCATCATGATTGTACATGTAAGTAACAAGAAATTGGGTTTCAGTTTTTTTTTAGGAAGAGTTTGTGTGGGGGGGCATGATTTGCAGTAATCTTAGAAAAGGGTTATTAACCAGCTCATATCAGTCGAACTGAAATTGCCACTTTCAGCTTTATAATAATAATCCTTGCATTTGATATAGTGCTTTTCACGTCTTCCAGACGTCTCAAAAGGCTTCACAGAATATACTGTAAAGTGAATTGACTGTATATTTGTGGGCGAAACGTGGCAGCCAATTGCGCACAGCAGTGTCCCACAAACAGGCGTAGATTGAAAATGACCAATTTTTATTATTTTGTTTTTTTGGAGGGATTATTATTAGGCGTGTGGAGTAAGGAAACTTGCCCAAGGTTTCGCCCTGCCTGGAATTGAACTCGGGTCTCTTGGGATTCTCATTCGAAAGCAACAAAATAGAAGGAAGTGATATCTATCAAAGGGATGGGATGAATTCCTAATCCAATGTGATAATGATAATCACTTGCATTGATATAGCACCTTTTACACATTATAAACATGAAGAACAAATTATTACTGATTAGAAATTAAGTGGATGTTGTATAGCAAATGCTGCAGCTAAGAATAATAATCCTTCCATTTAATATAGCTCCTTATTACACCTTCAAGACGTCTCAAAGCGCTTCACAGAATATACTGTAATGTGAATTTACTGTATATTTTGTGGGTGAAACTATGTCAGCAACATCTTATCCATAAAAGAAATCATAAAACATGATATGGTCAAAAGATAACTGAACTAAAATCTGAGTTGCTGCCTAGGTTACATTATTCTAATTATAATGTGGTCGTCTAGGCTGATACTCCAATGCAATTTCTGGGGCCCTGCTGCATTCTCAGAGGTGCAGTCCTTCAGATGAGACATTAATACTGAGGTTTTGTCTACCTGTTCAGGATGTTAAAGATCACATAGCACTATTCAATAAGGGAGTTTCTCCCGGTGTCCTGACCAACAAACCCCAGAGCAAAGGTACATAACCAAAAGTGGTCATTCACTTCATGGCTGTTTGTGGGATATTGCTGTGCACAAACTGACTACCATATTCCTTCCTATTAACATTCTTTTGACTTGGAAAAAAACTCATCAGTTACTCACTAATTCTGTTCCCTTCTGCTCGCACACCATTTACTTAGCAAGTCGTGGAAATCAATTGTCCTGGTTGTTCTTTCCAAGCCAGGTTGATAATGTGCTCTGTGATCTTACCACACACTGAAGATTTATAATTGTAAACTAGCTTAAGAATGTAGATTGGATTATTTTGACACAGATGCTTACCTGTTTCCTTTTCACCCACAAAATATACAGTCAATTCACTTTACGGTATATTCTGTGAAACGCTTTGAGACGTCTTGAGGATGTGATAAGGTGCTGTATCAAATGCAAGAATTATTTTTATCTGCTAATGTATCAGCCTGACTCTTGCCTCTTGAGTCGGAAGGTTGTGGGTCCAAACCCCCTCCTGCATTTTGGGCTTGAACTGGTAGACTAGAATGACTCCTCACTTCGTGATTGCACAAAGGACACACAATTTAGGGCTTTGTGGTTGACATCAATAGTCCCAGTGCTTTAAAATCAAATCGACATTAAACTCACAATTGCCTCTTGCTGAGGATATAAAATCAAGATATTCACATTTTCTGGGGGGCTGTTCATATACCTGAAATTATATTTGGATCCTGATGGTGTTAGTCACAAAGTCACAGAGATCGTGACCTTATCGAGCCATTCGGCCATTTTCTGGAAGGAAAATAATCTGATAATCTTGAGGTGAGTTCCCTCAAAATTACCATTTATTGTGCTACTGTGATCACATTCATCTTTCATTCTTATTCTCTGAGAGTAAGAATAAGAGATGAATGTGGTCGCACTAGCACAACATCTCCTATTAAAATGAGTTGGAAAAACACAAGCTAAGGACCAGATGAAACTCATGAATAACTCAACCGAGTGGGAAGCTGTAACTCTGGATAGAAATCAACATTGTCACTCTGTGACCCATTGATACATGACCAAACTGTGGCGTCTTCATTCAACCTACTGTCCTGGAGATTTCAATCCAGTATTGTAGTGAATCTGGGGTTTTGAGTATCAATTAATAACATGAATTTTCCAAAATATAGAGAAGCAATAAACAAGAAACTACTGTAACACAAGCAGCAGTAAAAGTCAATGAAAGACCAAATCTGGTAGTACAGTAACTCAAAAGACTTCAGTACACAATGTTGAATATTAACAAGTTATTGCAGCTGATATTGAGAAACATATCTGTAATTCACAATTGACAATCAGTCATAGAAAACGGCATTATTGGCAAATGATAATGTGATCTCACTTTGTACATTTTCATTCCAAAGTATATCTGTCAACCTGCTTATTTAGTAGAGCTCTCACTTCTGAGTCAGAAGGTTACGGGCTTCTACGGTGATACTGTGCTATAAACATACAATACCGTGCTATAAAAATGCAAGCTCTACCTTTATAAATATAAATGGGATTTTTTATAGTCTTTCTACCTTTCCTCTACCACCACCCCAATAAAACTGGCTATTCTCCAATATCTCACTGAGAAGGTAATTCATATGCATGAGCTCTGGACATTGAATGTTGGCAGAGCATTCAACCAAAGTTGACATCACAGCCAAACCCATTCTAACCACACCCACATCAGTGAATTGAACAGTAATTAATTTGGAATTTAAATCCTAAACTGAAGTTCATTTTCCCCTCCCTCACCCAAGGGTACAAAGTGTAGTGTGAAGTTGTATTTAATGTAAATGATGTGAGCTTATCAGCTTTTGATGACACGCACAACCACCCCAGGTTTTGTGCTATGAAAAGAAAAGGAAAAACATGAACACTTTAGGATTATCATTAGTGATCAGGGTGGAGTTGAATCTTTTTAATCGCTTGTCAAATACAATTCTTATCACCTTTTTAAGTGGAAACTTTGTTTTGCTGAACTCTATTTTCATAAACCACTTTCTCGAATACCCTACATGGAGTCCTGTAGCTCAGTGGTTAGAGCACTCGCCTCACATGCGAGAGACTTGGGTTTGATTCCAGGCAGGGATCACTTTCTGGGAGTAATAATCCCTCTCCCGGTCCCCCCCCCCAAAAAAAATGATAATTTGGTCCACGACTGTTTGTGGGACACTGCTGTGCCCACAGAACACACAGTCAATCCACTTTACAGTGTGTTCTGTAAAGCTCTTTGTGACGTCTCAGCGCCTTTCATTTCAGGAGGATATCTCAAAATGCTTCAATGTATATTCTGTGAAGTGCTTTGAGATGTCTCGAAGACGTGATAAGGCATTATATCAAATCAAGGATTTTTATTATGTATACTCATCCAGATTCTGTTCTTTTCTTCTCTCTTAACCCCCACCCCCAACAGCAATACTGAACAGTCGTTGTATGGTTTCAAGCGCATGTGGTTTATGCAGTGTTATTTATAGTTTCCTGCCTGAACAATGTCACTAATTTAGGACATTGCAGAGCTGTGTCTTGGCAGCTCCAAACGGTCTGGTGTAAGTCATGTCGCTATTATTTTTTTCTTCTCTCCAGCTCCTGTGCTGTGGATTACATAGAGAGATATTAGCATCCAAAGTAGGGTTGATGTACAAAGTAGTGCTGGCAAAGAATATTCTGGAATGAACAAGTAGATCCAGCATTAGTTGCCCAATAGCATTTACACAACTGTCTTAACCAGTGATTAGAACTCATATAGTCTAGGCTGACACACCGATGCAATACTGGGGGTGTACTGCATTGTCAGATATGCCACCCTTCGGATGAGACATTAAACTGAGATAACATCTGCCTATTAAGGTGGACGTTAAAGATGTCTCCTGATGTCCTGGCCAACAATTTGTCTCCCTCTCCCCCACCCGACTCACAAAGCATGGTTCAGCTAACTGTGAGGGGCGTTATATAAATGCAAGTTGTTGTTGTGGAGTGGAGCTCCTTCAGAAGAGGCAAGCCACTGGGATAGCACAGAGGGAGCTCCACCAGTGTGATATTTCCATTCCACATTTCCTTTCTTGATTCCCTGCCTCTCTTAGTGATATTGTCACTTTGTTCTGAATCAGAGGCAGAAAGTTTGCAGAGATTCACCTGCCCCCTCCCCCTCAAAACATATTTCATTGTAGACTCTATGTATCTCTGCCAGAGTTGGGAGGGTTTTCATTCCCATCAGTCAAGGCAAGATTTGAACCCAAGCTCCATAGCAGAGATAGTTGAATAATCTAATGCACCATCTTGGAGCCCAATAGATTCAACCCTGTTGCCAACTAGCCATTGTAAAGTTTCTTTAAACTTGACCTTATTTGATTTTGATTTATTTTTTCGCAGAAATATCAAGGGTGGTGTTTTCTAAAGCTGGAGTGTCAAATTATTCGACTCTGCTGCTGAGTGAGAAGCGAGGAATGCTGTACGTGGGAGCTCGCGAAGTCATCTTTGCTCTGAATTTGTCATATATTGCAGAAAAAATACATGAGGTAAGACCTCGCCACACAACCTAATAAAGCTTAGAAAGAAGTGCTGCAACATTGGGTCAATGCAGAAGTCCCAAAGATTGGCTTTGTCCTGTCTGATAGTTAGCTGGTCTCATTGCCTATAACATTTACAGTTATACATTTTTCATAAGAGTATTTTGAATTCAGGATTTTGTGAGAGTCAGTAAAAAGCAATTATCCATCCTTCAAAGAGAAACCTGCTGCATGTTCATCGTATGATGATGAAGAATTTGTAGTAAACCTGTAAATTGTTGATTTTCACACATTCTACTGTTACAGAAGAAAACTCATTTACACTCATTTATTAGACTAACTTGGAATGCTGGAGTTCCACTGAGTGTTACCTATACTCCTTGGCTCCTGTCAAAAATCTTCTATCCTACAGCTTTGATCTCCTCAACCTCCCTGGCCTATCCCTCAGGCTCACCAAACCAGTGTGCAACCTCGGAGTCAGGTTCAACCCACAGCTGTCCTTCCTTCCCCACATCCGGTCCCTGACCAGGACCGCCCTCCTCACCTGCACTAACTCCGTACCCATCATACCTGATCTAGCCAGGTTCCACTGGCTCCCTATCACTAAACAGATCGATTTCAAGATCGTCATATTCATCTTCAAATCCCTTCAAGCTGTAACACCTCCCTACCTCTCTGACCTGCTTACTCTCCAACCCACTACCCGTTGCATCTGCTTGACTGACTCCGGCCTCCTTGTTTGTCCCTTGTGCCCTCTATTCCGTCATCGGTAGCTGCACTTTCAGATACTTTGCCCAGAAACTCTGGAAGACTCTTTCTCTATTCTTCCGCCTTGCCCCCTCCTTCCTCATCTTCAGGTCGCGCCTGAAGACATTCCTCTTCGAATGTGCCTATGGTCACCTCCCATCCCACCTCCTCCGCATTATGCTCCATCAATGTCAAGCGCTCTGGGCCGCTTCCCTGGTGAAGTCGTCTGTATAAATGCAAGTTGTTGTTATCGAGGCAAGGTGAACTGAAAATGATGAATTATGCACAAGCAGAATTGTTATATAATAAGGTTGAAAGCACTAATTGAATTAAAAACATTGATTTTTTTGTGTTTTTTGTTGTCTTTTTCAGGTGAATTGGACGGTCTCTGAACAAAAACAGATTCAGTGTAAAAACAAGGGAAAGTCTAAAGAGGTACATTTTGAATTTACTAAATGTCTATAATTAACTAAAATATTTGTTATTACGTTTAACATGTTTCCAGAATTACCATAGTACGAAGATGTTAATCTGAGTGTATTTATAGGAATGGATTCATAGATTGACTATTTCCGCTGTTTGGTTATTTTGTGCCTTTGTTACAGACTGAATGCCTGAACTACATACGTATCTTGCATGAGTTTAATGATGAAAAGCTCTATGTATGTGGGACGTTTGCATTTCAACCAACTTGCGATTATCTTGTAAGTATTTGTAACTGGAGGTATATTTTCAATCTGCTTTCCTAAAATAGATTGGACTATTTACTTGCTCATTTGTTGTCCACTTTCAGACCATTAAAGATTTCCAACTGCAAGGCCAAAATAAAGAGATTAGAGGGCAGTGTCCATTTGACCCTGCTCAGAGATACACTTCAGTAATGGTTGGTAAGTATCTGATGGCAGCTTCCTTGTTCATGTTGCTAGTCGCCACCTGTATGAAGGGTGCTATATAAATGGAAGTTGCTTGTGACTCAGTGATGAAGCAGAATAATACAGCATTCAAGGTTTATCAAATATATCTCTTATTTTTTCTAAATTTAAAGTAATTCATTTTAATGGAGACTGGGTCGCCATATCAGCACAAGACTGAGCCCTGCCAATTTAAAGTATCCACAAATAATACATTTCCAGACTTTTGGTTCATAAGTTTTTTTTTCGGTCAGCCAGATGTTTGACACATGTGGAAACCTATCACCATGTTTAAGAGGATCCACACCAACTGAGAGTTGCATGTATCCCTTACATGTAGAAATTCCCATGTCTGGAATGGAAAGCTCACTCTCTCCTTAGGGGGAGGGACAGGAACACATCCAACAAATTTAGTTCCAGAGAGCATTAGCACAGGTTGGCAAGAGCTAAGGCTTGGGGAGCCCACAATATGTATTGAGGTGCGATGTGAGTTTAACCAGTAAAATGGTCTGTAACAATACTTACTGTAATGGTGTACTGCTGGAGTTTAATCGGTTTCAGTGGCTTGCCAGTGAAACCACAGTATTTTTCCTCAGTGCTCTCCATATTTGTACTGTTGTATGATTTTTGATGAATTAATTCTGAATTGCTCTTTTTTGATGATATTATTTTAGATGGTGAGCTGTACTCTGGAACAGTCAACAACTTTTTAGGAAGTGAGCCAATTATTACACGGGGTCAGTTGCGGACCGAGTATTTATTACCCTGGTTAAATGGTGAGTGTGTTTGACACTAAACCCAAATATGGATTCTGAATTAACCAAGCTGAAATAAGTAGCAGAACATTTTTGAAACTTAATGGGAAACAGAATGTAACATGATAAAAGACAACAGTGGGGCCCAATTATAATGCACTTCTTTTATAGAGCCAACTTGGTTCTAACACAATTGCTGTGTGGACCCTTCCACTGGAAATGTGTGCATTTAGCCCACATTCTTTCCACTTGCCTGATGGCCTTCTCTCTAAAATGGCCAAGTTTTGGGTCATTGGGTGGATGAGGATGGACCACTCCCTCCACCGCCTATCCTCTCACCTCAACCTTCAAGGCTCTGTCCTTGAGTAGTTCAGGTCTTATCTCCAATTTGTCTCCGCCAACGGTTTCTCTTCCAGCCCCCGCACAGTCTCGTGCAGTGTTCCTTAGGGCTCTGTCCTCGGTCCCCTCCTCTTCAACCTCCTCATGCTCCCTCTTGGTGACATCATCCACACGTATGCGGATGACACCCAACTCCATCTTTCTGCCTCCACCCTCGCTTCCAGGACCACTGACGTCCTGACAGACTGTCTGTCAGACATCAAGTCCTGGATGAGAGCCAATTTTTTACAGCTGAATGTCAGCAAGACTGAGGCTCTCCTGATTGGCTCTCGCCAGGGCCTCCGCATCTCAGGCACTGGCAGAATCAGCATCCATGGATGCATACTCCACCTCACCAAGCCAGTCAGGAACCCAGGCGTCTATTCAACCCTCAATTGTCCTTTCTCCATATCGTGCCATGACCCGCTCTGCCTTCCCCCTAGTTTTTTGCCTGTGCCTTTGCTCAACATCCTTAAATTCCTTGCTCCATGTTGAAACCAACACTTTTGTGAAGAGTTTCAAGGTGTTCGTCTTATGTGAAAGTCACCATATAAGAGTCCTGTAGCTCAGTGGTTAGAGCACTCGCTTTGCAAGCGAGAGACCTGGGTTCAATTCCAGGCAGGGCGAAACCTTGGGCAAGTTTCCTTACTCCACACGCCTAATAATAATCCCTCCAAAAAACAAAACAATAATAAATTGGTCATTTTAAATCCACGACTGTTTGTGGGACATTGCTGTGCGCAATTGGCTGCCGCGTTCGCCCACAAATACACAGTCAATTCACTTTACAGTGTGTTCTGTGAAGTGCTTTGGGATGTCCTCCCGACGTGAAAAGTGCTATATCAAATGCAAGGATTATTATAAGGGCAAGTTGCTGATAGTGTTAAAATACAGTAATAACAATACAGTCATAGGAGGCAGCTTCTGCTAACACTTCCAGTGAAGTTCATTCCTTGTAACAGAAGTGATCTTTTTTTCACTTCAGTCGTTTTCAACAGTTTTCTATGAAAATTCAAAATGAAAACAACGGTTTTCTCATTCACACACACACCAAAAAAGTTGTATAAAAAGCAATGTTCTTCTGGATTGTTAATTGCAAGAACAGAAGAATTTGCAAGTTTCCAGTCGTACTGTGGACTTTTTAATTTAAGTTCATTTGCTCAAGATGGTGAATTCAGTATAATTTTCATTAAATAGATGTTGAAGCCTAATTCTGGTAGCAGTAACAAGTGAGAGGTGATCAGCAGACCAGTCATATGTAAGAGACGGACCATGACCCGCTCTGTCTNCCCCCCACCTCCGCAACATTGCTTGACTCCACCACTGCCTCACTCCTCAGGCCGCCGAAACTTTTGTACGCACATTTGTCACTTCAAGGCTCGACTACGGAAACTCCCTCCTTGTCGGCTTCCCCAACTCTTCCCTCCACAAGCTGCAGATCATCCAGAACTCTGCAGCTCGTGTCCTCTCCCGTACCAGGCTCCGTGACCCCATCACCCCCACCCTCGCTCAACTCCACTGGCTCCCCATCCCTCAGGATAGAATTCAAAATCCTCGTTCTCACTTTCATGGTCCCCCACAGCCTTGCCCCCTCCTACATCTCTGAGATGCTGACCCCCATCAACCTGTCCGCTCCATCTGTCTGGTAGTATCTCACTCTACCATCGGGGACCGGGCTTTCAGGCTCTTTGCCGCCACACTTTGGAACTCCATCCCACAATCCCTTCACTTTGCTCCCTCTCTTGCCTCCTTCAAGGTACGACTCAAGATTATCCTTTTCGACTGTGCCTTCAGTTGCCCTCCTACCTCTCTTCCCTCCCTTATCCCAACCCTTCCCTCCCCCCCACACACTCGGGTCCTGATCCCTGACTGTTCAGCGCCTTGGGACACCCTCCCGACGTGAAAGGCACTTTGCAAATGTAATTTTATTGTTGGGTCGTCCTCAACAACACTTCCAGCATGTCATGAGCAGTGCACAGGAAATGACATCTCGGAGATCTGATGATTTGAAAGTTGGCTGTGCTAGCTTCCTCTGCTGAAGAAAAATGGCTGACTATCAGTTCATCAGGTCTGTTGGTTGACACTGCTGGCATCACTTCCTGCTTTGTGTATAATATAGCAAACAACAACAAAATTACATTTGTATAGTGCCTTTGTATTTGTATAGTGGTTAGAGCACTCGCCATGTACGCGAGAGACCTGAGTTCAATTCCAGGCAGGGCGAAACCTTGGGCAAGTTTCCTTACTCCACACGCCTAATAATAATCCCTACAAAACCAAAAACAATAATAAATTGGTCATTTTCAATCCACGACTGTTTGTGGGACATTGCTGTGCGCAATTGGCTGCCGCGTTCGCCCACAAATATACAGTCAATTCACTTTACAGTGTGTTCTGTGAAGCGCTTTGGGACGTCCTCCCGACATGAAAAGCGCTATATCAATTGCAAGGATTATTATTACTATTATTATTATTTCACGTCGGGAGAACGTCCCAAGGCGCTGGACAATCAGTGTTTCGGACCCGAGTTGGGGTCGGGACCGGGGAGGGTGGGGCCAGGGCTGGAAGGAGGGTGATCGAAGGCACGGTCAAAGACAAGGGTCTTGAGATGGGTCTTGAAGGAGACAAGGGAGGGGGCGAGGCGGAGGGACTGCGGTATGGAGTTCCAGAGGGTGGGGGCAGGGTGGCATTACTCGGTAGCACACCTTCTGTTAGAGCTTGGGATGCTTTAAATTGATTGTTTTTCAGTGGGACATGTTTAATGCGGGTTGGGTGTCATTCATGTACGTTTTATGACTCTTTTCCACAGAGCCAAGTTTTGTTTATTCGGATGTGATAAGAGAGAGTGAAAACAATCCAGATGGTGATGACGACAAAATCTACTTTTTTTTCAATGAAGTGGCTGTTGAATATGAATTCAATGGCAAGCTCAAGATGCCAAGAATAGCTCGAGTGTGCAAGGTTAGATTAAGTTGATACTGTCATCTAATGCTAATTTTTCTTCTGAACATTGCTTAAAGCACAATTTTAGGTGTTAGCCTGGCTCAATTGGTAGTAGTTTTGCCTCCGGAGTCAGGAGGTTGTGCGTTCAAGCCCTATTTTGGAACTTTGAGCTCATGGTCTACACCAGTGATGGTCAACTTGTGGACCACATGCGGAAAGTGTTACACATGCATAAAACAGTCACAAGTTGGCCATCCCTGGTCTACACTGACACTTGAATACAGTGCTGCAGGAGAGTTTCATTGTCAGAGATGCCACACTTTGAATGATAGAGAAGGGAGTTGAGCGGTATGGAGGGAGGCTAGGGAGAGGGTATCGGAGGGGGGAGGTTCATGTGGCATATAAACACTGATACAAACTGATTGATGGGGCAGTATGGTCTATATCATTCTATGTATAAGATATTAAACAACTTTTTCCGGTGGATGTTAAAGATCCCATGGCACGACTTGAAAAGGGAATGGAGTTTCTCTGGAGTCCTGACACAAAATCCCCCAGACATAAAAATGATCATTTACTTCATGGTTGCTTGTGGGAAGTTGCTGTGCAAGTTGGCTGCCATGTTTGTACAGTCGCTACACTTCATAGTAAAAAGCGCCCTGGGTTGCTACCCCACTTGAAGGGTGCTATATAAATACAAGTTGTTGTAAATTTTTTGAGCCCTTTGAGTTCCAGTGATGTGATAAGGCACTATATCAATTACAAGGATAATTATTATTTGGTCAAATATCTTGCCAATGAGTTAGACATTTTTATTAAGTAAGATTGTGAGTCAGAGGCTCACTGCTCTGTAAATGAGATTGTTTCGAAGGAAACCTCTAGTGGCAGAATGTCTGCTGCCAAATGGCTTCAAGCAAAGCAAGAACATGTGGAGATAGGTGAGGGGATAGTGAGCAAAGCAGTACTTTGTCTGCCCCCACAAGATCTATGGGGTAAAATTCCACCTGGTCGATTTACTCCCATCAGTATAGCTTTTCAAAACTTCCAGAATGTGTCAAAATCTTAAATACAATCTTTTAATTTTGAAACTGGTTTTCTGTAAATTCTTTTCAGAAGCTACAGTATACAGGCTTTATAGTTGAGACTGAATTTAACAATTTTTTGCTGAATTCCGCACGCTCTGAAATGTTAGGTTAATCGAGTAAATCTAGACACAGGTGGAATTTCTACACCTTCGTGCTCTGAGTTTCTGCATTGGGAAGACCAGGACAGTCAAAAACCCAGTGAAAAATAATGGGGAAAATGCCATTGCTTGCGTTTTCCCAGCAGAAGCTTATGTTTGATGGTGGTCCATCATTGATATACTGTGAAGTGGAGAGTGTGTGACTATGTATTTTGTGGGTGACGCGGCAGCCCAATATGGGCACAGCTATGTCAGATAAATAGCCATGAAGTGAAGGACCAATTTTATTTGGGGGTTTGTTGGGCAGGACACCGGGAGAAACTCCATTATCTTTTCGAATCGTGCCCTGGCATCTTTAACATCCACCTGAATGAGCAGACAGCCTTGGGATAACATCTCATCCAAAGGACGACACTTCCATCAATGCAGCACTGCCTGAGCACTGCAATGGAGTGTTAGCCAGTACAAGTTCACCTGCTCATTCTATCTCATGGCCCAATTTCATAAGGCAAGCAATGTTGTTGTCATGCACGTCTATTTTATTTGTGATGAAATTTATTGGGTATGAATTGGATGCCATCCAAGAATCTTCTAATGACTGTGTGTTTATGTTCTGTGTTGTTTAGGGTGACCAAGGAGGGTCCAGAACATTGCAGAAGAGATGGACATCGTTTCTTAAAGCTAAACTGATTTGCCATCTGCCTGAATCCAATTTTGTCTTCAACATCGTCCATGATGTTTTTATTCTGAAAACCCCCAACTGGAAGGAAACTATATTTTATGGTGTGTTCACCTCACAATGGTAAGTAATGTAACACTGCCTGTATTGTCTTTCCAAGCTTAAATTACAAATAGATGATCCTATTTCCTTTTTATTTTTTTTGAGGGGTTAATTGAAAGCAGCATTATCCCTTTTGGTGCTATACACTGGCTCTTCTGTGTATTAGCAAACTATCCTTTGTTAATAGCTGGGCTTGTATGGCCCAGCAGTTGTTAATGCTGTGAATGGGGCTTAATCAAGTGGCAAAGGATTCTTTACTCTATCCCATCTTGAGAAGCAAAGCAGCTTGGATCAGCTTGCAAATAGCATCACTGTTTTTCTCTACCCTCCTCCACATTGAAGCTGATCCTGTGGGAAACTTTTTTTTCAACATTGTAATGATAATAATCCTTGCATTTGATGTGGCGCCTTATCATGTTGGAAGGACATCTCCAAGCACTTCACAGGAATTACTGTGAAATGGAGTGACTGTATTGTGTGGGCCGAACGGCAACACAGTTGCACGCAGCAATGTCCCCCACATTGCCATGAAATGAGTGACCAATTGATTTGATTATTTGGGGGATTTTTGGTCAGGACACTGGGAGAACTCCCTTATGTTTTCGAACAGTGCCATGGGATCTTTACCGTCCACCTGAACAATCAGCTTAATTTCATGTTTCATTCGAAAGACGGCACCTCTGACAATGCAACCTCTCCCCCCGCACCCCCCCCCCCATGCTGACATTCGAATGTCATCTTCGACTATGTGGATTCAAGTCCCAAAGTGGGATTTGAACCCACAACCTTCTGACCCAGAGGTGAGAGTGCTACCATTGAGTTAATCTAAAGTTCTATACCCATTAAAGTTCCAATTGTTTTCCCTCTCACTTTGATGTAGTTGAAATATCTCAAGTGTTTTTTCTAAATTGCTTATCAGCAGCATTATTGTAGTAAATCCCATGCCCAGATAGATGCATCCCTTCTTGCTCATTAATGCACATCAGCAGTACAAAATGAACTTTTGACTTTTTGGTAATCAATCTTGTTGAGTTTTAGAAATTAATCTTAACACACTCGCCTCAGAGTTGCTGGGATGTGGGTTCAGACCCCATGTCGGGACCTGGAGCCCATATAGTCTAAACTGAAGCTCCACTACCACACAGTCCGTGTGCTGCTCTATTGGAGGTGCCGTCCTTCAGGTGCGATGTTACACGCCAAGGTCGCATCACAGTCCCCAAATAAAATTATTCACACACTCCATGACTGTTGTAGGATATTGCTGTGCTCAGATTGGGTGCCATGTTCGCCCACAAAATATCTGCCTCTGTACCACTTTACAATATATGGAGTTCTGTAGCTCAGTGGTTAGAACACTTGTTTTGCAAGTGAGAGAACTGGGTTCAATTTCCAGCAGGGTGAAACCTTGGGCAAGTTTCCTTATTCCACACGCCTGATAATAATCCCTCAAGAAAATAAAACAATAATAAGGTGGTCACTTCAAACTACGACTGTTTGTGGGACACTGCTGTGCGCAATTGGCTGCTGTATTTCGCCCACAAATATACAGTCAATTCACTTTACAGTATATTCTGTGAAGCGCTTTGAGTCGTCTAGAAGACGTAAAAAGCGCTATATCACATGCAAGAATTATTATTATATATCCTGCGAAGCACTTTTGAGACATCTTGACAATATGTTAAAGCATTGTGAAGTGCAAGGATTATTATATTAGAGTGCTGTGTCGTGCTGATCAGAGTTGTGTGAATGCAATAATGAATATTCCCATTCGTGTAATTTAAACATCAATGGGGTAACAAACATCAGAATAATTGGAGGGGTAGTCTGGCAGAGGTATGGTTCAGTGCTCGATTCCCAAGGAGAACGTGGCACATACCGCTCAGAACAGTGCGGCAGTCAGATATCTGGCATACTTAAGGTTCTCCTTCAGGTCACTAAATAAATCTCAGGCAGAAACAGTAGCTCCCATCTCGGGGAAGAGAGAGCTTGAATCCTGTGGTTAACAGTGATGAGCTACACTCTGCCTACATACTTGCATTTACAAGCCGTAGCATTAGGTGTGTTCTAAGTTGACGACAAAGAAATTGGACATACTTTTCCTTATTACTGTAGGACTACTAGCTTGGATGAAACGTACTTTATTTTGGAAGGAGTAATTTCCAATCATATGTAATGGAATCTTCAATTTTGCAGTCATAACTGTTCAAGATCAAGCACTAGTTTATTAAGTTTGATTACCGCAAAGTTGAATACGTTTACTAATGTTGTGTGATACTGGGAAATTCTCAGTGCTATCAATTATTTGTAAAATCAAAAGATGATCTGAAATGTGTATTTGTCTTCACAACCTTGTCAGGAGTAACCTGGGAATGTCCGCGGTCTGTGCCTTTAACATGTCCAGCGTAGAAGATGTGTTCTCCAAAGGGAAGTACATGCAGAGTGCTGCCTTTGAGCATTCCCACGTGAAGTGGGTTAGATACAGCGGGCAAGTTCCAACCCCTCGACCTGGCTCAGTGAGTATACACAACACGCTTTCAATCTGATCTTTGGATGTTTGTGAGACCGAAGGCACTTTCCCCAGGGACTTGGAATGAAAGGAGAATTATTTCCGCAATGATTATAAACCAATAAATACTTGGAGCAATACAAATGAAAAAATCCAAAGACCAGATGTGATGCAACTTGTAACTAGGAGTATGGAGACAGTGGGTAAATGAGACTTAAAGGAATGCTCTTTGAAAGCAAAAGAGGCAACACAAACAGTTTGGACCAAATGGCCTTCTTCTGTACTGCTAAATTTCTGTGGTTTAGCTATGTGAATAACCATAGCAATTAACAATTGATTAACACAACCTTGAATTTAGTGACTTAATGATAATTAACACATCAACTGTTTCCTGGAGGCTCTCCTCCTCCACCCCAATGGTCTCACCGAGAAGCTGGCAGACCTGTGTGTTTAGCTGCTGGCTGTCAGATCGCAGCACAGTTAGCAGCTTTACATGATGATTTATTTTGGCTGGTTGATACATTTACTATTGGTGCTAAATAACTCATTACAATTTTTAAGCTCAGCTTCTAGGAAATTGAGGTGAAGGACCAGGTGTTTCAATGGAAATGACTGAAAAGTGGCTTTTTGTTCTAATTGTTTGGCACCTCTTCTGTCCTTTACAGTGCATGAACAATGAGGCAAGAGCTCAAAAAATTAACTCTTCGCTCCATCTGCCCGACAAAACACTTCAGTTTGTTAAAGACCACCCTCTGATGGAGGACCCAGTGAACCCCATTGGAAACGGGCCGAAGTTGGTGAAGAGAAACGTGAACTACAAGCAGATTGTCGTGGACAGAGTCCGAGCACTTGATAACAGCCTCAATGACGTGTTGTTTGTGGCAACAGGTGGGTTGTGGTGAAATGTGAAATCTAATGTAATGTATTAAAATGACTGTAGTGTGCAGGAGCAGTTGTTTAACACAGAATTGAGGGTGGAGATACAATACATTGGAAATGTGTTCTTTGGTTCTACATTCAGTTCAAAGGTTTATGTTGACCTTTAATGCTATCTAGACATGCATGTTGGAGATGAACACTAGCTGCATTAACATATCACAACATTGTCATTTTCATCTCTCGTTCCTAAACTAGAGTTTAAGAGTCTTCCTTGGATTTATTGAGGAAAGCTAAACTGTGTACAGATGCAACATCTTATTTTCGTAAACCAGAAGACGGGGGAGGGGCAGTCTGCCTGTAGAGAAGCCATATCTTTTAATGGATCCAGGATTATTGCAGAAACTGCAGTTTAGAAACTACAAGGTCAGAGATGCAAAAGAACTAATTTTGTGCTCTGACACCAGTTTATGCTCGGCTTTTCAGGATGAACCATAGAAATTTACAGCATAGAAGAACACCAAAAAATCCGTGCCCAGCTTGTCAAGTACCACAAAACCATGCTGGACAGGCTGGAGATTACCTTGAAAAGGTGTTTTCACCTGGATATCATTTCACTGCTGCTCTCACTATGTCAAATGCAAGGATTATTATTTTATATTATAAAAGATAATATAAAATAATAATCCTTTCATTTGACATCTCACCTTATCACGCTGTCAAAATGCTTCCAAGCACTTCACAGGACTTACTGCAAAATACAATTGCTGTACTTCGCCAGTTCTGACAAAGGGTCATGAACCCAAAACGTTGACTCACTTTCCTTTCTCCATAGATGCTGCCTGACCTGCTGAGTGTACCCAGCGACTTCTGTTTTTGTTTCAGACTTCCAGCATCTGCAGTATTTTGCATTTTTTTTTACAATTGCTGTGTATTTTTTAACGAGCAGCAAATTTTTGCACCACAGTGTCCCTCAAACAACCATGTAGTGAATGATTCATTATATCTGGAGGATTGTTGGCCAGGACCCCAGGAAAAACATCCTTCTATTAGTATAAATGAGGAGGGTATGAATTCATCCTGTCTCTGCTCAAAAATGTTTGTATAAAGGTTTTAGGGAGTTGTCCACAAACTCACAAGAGATCATTTTAATGTTACTGAAGATTTTGTTTAACAGTAATAATAACCTCAGTGAAACAAATTTAAACTTGATGGTTTAAATTTCTATGGTTCATCCTGAAAAGCCGAGTATAAACTGGTGTCAGAGCACAAAATTAGTTCTTTTGCATCTCTGACCTTGTAGTTTCTAAACTGCAGTTTCTGCAATACTCCTGGATCCATTAAAAGATATGGCTTCTCTACAGGCAGACTGCCCCTCCCCCGTCTTCTGTTTTACGAAAATAAAGTTTTTGGAAGTGGCAGGGTGTGAATAAATAAGTGTTTACGTATATTCTGGCTTGCTCCATGTCCCCACCCTGTACGCTCCACCATCGGCAGTCGGGGCCTCAGCCTTTCTGCCCCCACCCTCTGGAACTCCAACCTGGAGCCTCTCCACCTTGCTTGTCTCCTTCAAGGCCCGTCTCAAGGTCTTCCTCTTCGACAGCACCTTCGGTCACCTTCCCACCTCCATCCCCCTTTGCCCTCCACTCTTCTTGAATCCAACCCCTAGTTTTGGCGCAAACCTTCACTGTCCAGCGCCTTAGGACGTCCTCCTGATGTGAAAGCTCTATATAAATACAAGGTGTTATTCTAATACTGTATCTTCCTTTAACAGATACAGGATTATTGCACAAAGCAATCAATTATGACAATGAAATGCATATAATTGAAGAAATCCAGCTTTTTCCCAACTCTGAGCCTGTGCAAACATTACTTTTGGCATCCGAAAGGGTGAGTATAAAGCTTCTTTACCTTTTTTTAAAAAAAAAATATCTATGCATGGTATAAAATCAAAGAATGTTGCTGCACCAAAATAGACCATTCAGCCCTTCAAGTCTATGTTTTACTCCATATGGGCCAATATGACCCCACTCTTCTGCTCGCTCCCAATAGCCTTTAATATTCCCACTTCCGTTTTTTTTGTTATCTTAAATTATCTCCAATCAGTGGAATGAATCTATTCCCGTTTTCCTTATTACTCTATTATGACTCTTCATTATCTTTCTGCCCCCAACCTCTGGAACTCCATCACAGAGCCCCTCCGCCTTGCCGCCCCTCTCCCTTTCCTCCCTCAAGGTCTGTCTATCATACTCTTAAGGCAAGAACGCTACCAACTGAACCAGGCTGACATTGTTTTGAATAGCGCCATGGGATCTTTGACCCATCAGAACAACATAACAGGATCTTGGTTTAACATCTCAAATAAAGCTCAGCACCTCCGATATTGCAGCAAAACCCTGCACTGGAGTGTGATCTTAGACTGAGCTCCACATCCTGACATTGGGGCTTGAATGCATAACCTCCTGGCTCAGATGTGAGTGCTACCAGCTGAGCTAGGCTGATACTTCTTCCCCATTTGTGGGGAAAAGATGCAGTTTCTCGGTAACAGATTAATTAATGACACAACATTTTAGTTTCACAGCAATCTGTTTGTCTCATACTAGTAAATGGCTGGGAAAATTACTTGTAATTGGATTTGAAATGAGCAGAAAAACTGCCAAACTATCTGCAACTGAAAATGGGAAGGAAACGAGCACCTAGTTCAGGCAATGTTGGTTACAAAATGGAACTGAAACTTCTCTTTCTGTAGCTATGATTTGACAAAAGCATCCATTAGACCAATGAGAGTCAATGTGTCGCGTGTAAGATATTGCACAGGATAGATACACTTCACATACTGAAGTGCGTTTTTAGTCACAGTTTGCACTGCTGTTTTCCCTATGAGTGCTTTTTCAAGCCTGATGACTTAATCTGAAACTGGAAGCAGGACTGTGGGTGCTGTATGTCCAACAAGATTTACCAGTTACCACCAGTGGGCTAACCGTGCCTCGCTGACCTCCCCTACCCCCGCCATTTGCTTTTAGTCTTGGTGTGTATGTTATGCCTGCCGCCACCGACCCGAGCTGCTTCCCCACAATACCCCCACCCCTGTCCTCTACCCTCACTTACTCCCGCTCAGTTCTCCTCTCCCACCGTCCTCCTCAACTCTATCCTGCTCGACCGTCCCACTGCCTCCCTCTGCTCCAGCCTGCGAATCCTCCGTCGGGTCCACCATGGGAGTTGCCGCTGGCTGTCTAACAGCAGCCCTATCCCTTACTCTCGCCGCAAGGCTCACCGGTTCCCAACCACAGGGACCAACCTCTCCTCCCTGATCCACATATCTACCCTTCCTGTCAGTCCTCCCCACTCCCCCGGCTCTCCCCCCACTTTCCGTCACCAACTGTTCCCTCTGCATTGGTCTCAAAACATCCGTTTCCTCTCCAACAAAACACACATCATCCAAGACCTCATCGTCAATGAACATATCGACATCCTCGCCCTCACTGAAACTTGGATCACTCCAGGCTACACCTTCCATCACACCCCTTGATCTAACCTCCGTGGTGACGGTGTGGCTCTCGCCTTACTCCTCTGGAACTTTCCCCTCCTTTAAGCACCTTATCCTTCATCAGCCTCCATCCTTTCCCTCAAAATTCTCCTCATCTATCGCCCCCCAAGCACTCCACCACCTTCATCCCTGATATCTCCACCCTCCTATCTTCCCTCTCCCTTTGCTCTGAATACCTCCTCATCCTAGGCGATTTCAACCTTCACTTCACCCCCTCCTGCTCTACCTCTGCTGACTTCTCCTCCCTCAATCTCTCCCTCCACATCCACTCGCCACCCAAATCCGCGGTCACCCCCTCGACCTGGTGATCACTTGGGGCCTCACCGTCTCGGACCTCACCATCATCGACAAAGTGATCTCGGACCATCACTTCATCTCCCTTAACTCCTCAATCCCTCTCCTCACTGCCACCCAAACCACCTCCATCTCATACTGCACCTGGAAAAAAAATATCCCCCCCCCACCCCTCCCTCTCAGCTGCCTTGGAGTCATCTGAACTCCTTCCACCCTGGGCTTCTTCCCGCAATGACCTATCCTCCTGGGTCACCCTTCTCCACAGCTCTGTTTCCTCCACTCTTGATTCCCTCGCTCCCCTCTCTTCCTGAGCCATCTCCTACTCACACAAATCACCTTGCCACACCAGCCACCTCCGCTCCCTTAAAGCCCAGGCATGTTCCGCTGAGCACACCTGACTTAAATCAAACCTAACTGTCCATCAGCAGATTTGACTGGACAATCTTGGAGGCGAAGGACAACCCCAGGCTCCTCTTCTCCATCACGAACTGACTCCTCCACCCACCATCTCGCGCCTCACCCATCTTCACCTCAAATGCCAAATGCGAGGTGATGCTGGACTTCCTCAAAACCAAAGTTGAGGGAATCCACTCAGCTGCCTCTGCCACTGCATCTACTAACCCCTCCCCATCTCCTCCTCCCACTGCAGCCTTTACCCACCCCTCCCGCCACACCTTTTAACCTGTCTCCCTCTCCTCTCTCATCACCACCATAACCCGTACGAAACCCACCACCTGCTCCCTCGGCCCCATCCCTAACCCCCTCCTTACCTCCCAGCTCCACCTCCTTGCCCCTCTACTCACTGATATTGTTAACCTCTCCCTGTCCTCTGGTACTGTTCCCACCCCTTTAAAAATCACTGTCATCATTCCTATCCTTAAAAAAACCCTCCCTGGACACTTCTCTACTCTCTAACTACCGCCCCATCTCCAACCTCCCCTTTCCTAAGTCCTGGAACGAGTTGTTGCTTCTCAGCTTCGCTCCTTCCTCTCCCGCCACTCCCTTCTCGAACCCCTCCAATCGGGCTTCCGTGCCGCCCACAGCACAGAAAGACCCCTGGTCAAAGTGACAAATGACATTCTGTCCATCTGCAACCAGGGCTTCCTCTGCCTCCTCTTCCTCCTTTACCTCTCTGCTACTTTCGACACCATCGACCACTCTGTCCTCATCTACCGCCTTTCCTCTCACCTCAACCTTCACGGCGCTGTCCTTGATTGGTTCAGATCATACCTCTCACACCTCCTGCACTTCATCTCCTCAAACAGCTTCTCCTCTAACCCCCGGACTGTCTCATGTGGCGTTTCTTAGGGCTCTGTCCTTGGTCCCCTCCTCTTCAATATCCATAGGCTCCCCCTCGGTGACATCATCCGCAGACATGGGGTCAACTTCCACTTTTATGTGAATGACACCCAACTCTACCTCTCTGCCTCCACCCTTGACTCCAAGACCACTGCTGTGCTGACAGAATATCTGTTAGACATCAAGTCCTAGATGAGAGCTAACTTTCTCAGTTGAACGTCAACAAGACCGAGACTCTCCTGATTGGTTCCCGTCATCGCCTTCTCACCTCAGACGCTGACAGCATCACCGTCCATGGTTAACACTCCACCTCACTGAGCCAGTCCAGAACCTTGGGGTTTTCTTTGACCCTCAACTATCCTTTCTACCTGACATCTGTGCCATGACCTGCTCTGCCTTCCCCCACCTCCGCAACGATCGCCCAGCTCCGCCACTGTTTCACACCACAGGCCGCCGAAACCCTCATACATGCTTTCATTACATCGGGGCTCGACTATGCAAACTCCCTGCTTGTCGGCCTCCCCTACTCCTCCCTCCATAGGCTGCAGATCATCCAGAACTCTGCAGCCCGTGTCCTCTCCCGCACTAGGCTCCGTGACCCTGTTTGCTCCTTCCACTCAGCGGGCTCTGGCTTACCACCTTCAAGACCCACCTCAAGACACCCCTCTTTGACCGTGCTTTCGATCTCCCTGCCTCACCCTCCCTGACCCCGACCCTCAGCTCGGGTCCATAACTCTGTCTGTTCATCGCCTTGGGACGTCCTCCCGATGTGAAAGGCACTTTATAAATGTAACTTTGTTGTTGTTGTATTTTATCTTTTTTTGAGTGTAAAAGGAGAATTTTAAGTTTTCTTTAAGTGTCTTAACAAATCCATTTGTAAGTTATAAGTGAGGATGAATACTTTTGCTTACTAAATCTCTTTTGCAACCTCCGGAACATCGCCAGACTACGGCACTACCTCACCCCTCACGCTGCTGAAACCCTGGTCCACGCCTTTGTCACCTCAAGGCTGGACTATGGGAACTCTCTCCTCGCCGGCCTTCCCGCCACCTCCCTCCACAAGCTGCAGGTCATTCAGAACTCTGCAGCTCATGTACTGTCCCTCACCAGGCTTCAGGACCACATCACTCCCACCCTCGCTCGCCTCCACTGGCTCCCCATCCCCCAGAGGATCGAATTCAAGATCCTCATCCTCACCTATAAGGCCATTCACGGCCTTGCTCCCTCCTACCTCTCCGACCTACTATACCCCTACTTACCTGCCCGTACCTTCCGTTCCTCCGGCTCCGGTCTGCTCCACATCCCCCGCCCCAACTGCCCTACGATCGGTGGCCGGGCCTTCAGCCTCTCAGCCCCGAGGCTCTGGAACTCCATCCCCCAGTGCCTTCGCCGCCTCCTCCCTTTCCTCCTTCAAGGCCGGTCTCAAAACCTTTCTCTTTGACCGTGCCTTCAGCTCCCCTCTCGACTCTCTTCCCCCTCCTCACTCCCTCCCTTCCCTCCCCTCACCCTGACCATTTCCCCCCTGCTCGGGTCCTGACCCAACTGTGCAGCGCCTTGGGACGTCCTCCTGACGTGAAAGGCGCTTTATAAATGGAATCTTGTTGTTGTTGTTGATGGTTTTTCGTAAGCATTTATATTTTTCAAGTTGAATATCTTCAATCTCGGCCATTGAACCACACAGCAGTAATTTTTTTGGTGTTTATTGATAATTCATGTTGAAAATTTTATTTTGCAGGACAATAAGTTTCTTCAGGACAATAAGTTTTTGTATGCAGGGTCGGATTCAGGAGTTGTTCAAGTTCCTGTTGCCTTCTGTGAAAAATACAAAACCTGCACGGATTGCATTTTGGCACGAGATCCCTATTGTGCCTGGAACCCAGAAAGCAATTCATGTATCTGGGTTAGGAAAGGGGACATGAGGAATAGGTATGTGTACTTAACCCAGATCTCTACATTACTCGGCTGTGGAGTCTACGTTCCATGTTTTACTACGAGCACATTTTGTTTAAGCAAGTGATCTGGTTTCTGGTGTTAAATGTGTTTAACATTTGTGGAGTTTCTGGTGTGGAGTCCTGTAGCTCAGTGGTTAGAGCACTCGCTTTGCAAGTGAGACACCTGGGTTCAATTCCAGGCAGGGCGAAACCTTGGGCAAGTTTCCTTACTCCACACGCCTAATAATAATCCCTCCAAAAACCAAAAACAAAGTATATTCTGTGAAGCGCTTTGGGACGTCCTCCCGACGTGAAAAGCGCTATATCAAATGCAAGGATTATTATTATTATTATTAAATATACGTTTTATTTTTTCCTCAGCAACTTGATGCAGAATTTGAAAGGAGATGCAGTTCCATGTATAGCCGAAGATGGTAGGTTAACCAGTGCTGGTGCTTTTAACTAACATCCAACTCTTTCTGCAAATGGTTATTTTAGGGTTTGGGTTGGTACTCACAGAAGATGTACCAAATTAGCCTGTTACTCTGGTTACTTTGATAATTGGGTTAATTTTGATTGCTACTCTCAGATTAAGTAGAGGAGATGTTAAATTTGCCATTATTATTATTTTATATACAAAAAAGGCCAATGGATAACATTTCCAGATTATTTCTCCAGAAGGTGCCAGAATAATATCACACCTGTTAATTCTTGTGTAAATGCCCTCACACATCAAAGTTGTGAAATTCATTGACAATCCACATCTACACTAACTGTGGTTCCAGATACAAATATTAACTAGTGGAGGAGCCAATATAAATAGNAAAATTAGCAATATTGGTGAATAAATGCCATCTGTTTGGCCTTGGTTGGCTCATTGCCCAGGAAGCTAGTAAAAGTAAATCCAATCTTATCTTACAATACATATTAAATATAGGAACTTTACACATAAGTAACTAATTTGCAGTAGTACTTCCCTCTGAGAATTGCCTTTCCTTGAAAGCATTGCCTGTAAAGCAGATTTAAAAACTTCTGTGAACACTTGCTTTAAGGGATATGAATGATTTTCTTACATTAGTATTATGAGAAGTGTTCATAAATGGATTAATAGAACAAGCAACTCATTGAAGTGTATGTGGATGGCTTCTAATTCATGGCATGTACCCAGATAGTTGGTGCTTTGCTGTTGGTTGGCAAAGTCTGTTATTCTTGAATGAAAAATCTTAACCTGCTTTATTTTGTTTAACAGGGAAATTTCTTCACACTCCTGAGTTTAAAATGGAACCTGGAGGTTTTAAAGAGCTGAAGTGCCACCTTGCATCCAGACTGGCTACAGTAGTTTGGAAGTTCAATAATGAGAGTCTGAATGATGGCTTAAAATACCGGCTTTACCGAAATAATTTGCTGATCTTACAACTGTCTAAGAGGGACTCGGGTGTCTATGAGTGCTGGACAATGGAGGACGTAAAGGGAAACCGGCATGAGCACCTGGTGGAAAGGTATTCTCTGAGCGTAGAGCCTCTATCTGAGGCTGTAACGGCTCCCCCCACCACATCTTTTACTCAGGCGGAAGGTAATTCTGCAACCACTCAGGCAAGCATAAATAAAGGAGGAACGGCTTCTCACCCTGTAACAACCCAGATTCAAACTTCTCTTCCCACTTCAACTATTAGCACCCTCACATTTTCTATCCTTAAGTCTTTATCTACAGGTAGTTCGCTTTCAAACGCACAAGGTGTACTTGAAGCTTCAAGGGCTCAACAAAGCAATTCCATTCTGGTATTTTTCCTTGTGGTATTTGCACTTCTTTTCCTAGTGCTGCTTAGTTACAACTGTTACATGAAGTACCTGCCAGCTTCTTGCCTGAAACTGCGCACTTGCGTAGTTGGTGACGGGAAGAAGCCAGAATGTGATTATGAGAATGTGTCCGAGGGGCTGGTGAAACAGCAGGCAGTGAAAATCAATTCAGATCACCAAGGTGGAGAGCAGATGCCTGCTGGTGACAAGGGTTACGAAACTGAATCAGATTGTGGGAATGGCAAGCTTCCAAATACAGAGAAGCCTCAGGAGCTTAAAGAAATCCAAGAGAACCACAAAGTCCAGTCTGCTGAGCCTGAGAAAGATGTAGATATTAAATTCATTGATGATGAAGCACAGAGCCTTTGCTAATACTATTAATATTACTCATAGCCATATAGAGGCAATCTATTGTGAGCAAGAGTGTGGAAGTTGAGGGTTTAGAGATTTAGAGGTCATAGTATGTTAGCTAAATTTGTCGTTTGTTCAGAAGTTTTGCTTAGTGTTATTAAAGCTGTTATCTGAAAGTTATTAAAGCTGTTATCTGAATCTTGCACACTCAACCTGCATTATATTCAGCCAAACAAAATTGTTTTCATACATCTTCAGTTTTCATTCCAAATTGGAAAATATTAATTTATCAAATTGGTAAATTTTTCAAAATACTGTCCAAATTGGAGCACAAATTTGTTTCGTATACTGTATATGTGATTCATTCCATGGCTGTTTGTGGGACGTTGCAGTGCACAAACTGGCTGACCCACAAAATACACAGTCACTCCACTTTACAGAAGGTTTTGCGAAGCGCTTTGAGACATCTGGATGCTGTGATAAGGCGCTATATCAAACTCAAAGATTATTATTATATTGATATTGCACTGAAAGCTTATGAGTGATATTCTGTTAGAAATATCTGTAGATAATTGCTGCATCTAATGTAGGTTGATGCGTAAGTTGATACTTTTGTTCATTGCTAATATTCTGCAGACCTCAGGGAACAGTCGAATAATAGATTTCATGTTTTTTTTAATTCTCTAATTGAAAGAAGAAAAAGAAGGGTTATCTGAATTTCTGATTAGATTTAGATCCTAATCTGCTGCAGTGAAACATAGAGTCCACAAGACTGATTTATAGAACTAATGCCTTTTTTTTAAAACTAGTACCTTACCATTGGCAGAGTGTTCATTGCCCAAATGCTGTTTCTGAGCCACGGCCTTAATTATAGGGGCTGCCTGCGTTGAAAGGATTTTACCTGTGGAAGATGTTCGACACTTGCTAAGCACTATCACACTTATAGTCACATTGATACAGCGATGGATTTTTAAAGTGGCTGTCATAGTGAGAGAAATGAACACATAATGGTGGGGGGACGGACAAACTCCCTGCTGCATTCCTTAAACAAGAATCTTACAGACTACATACATGTTGCAGTTTCTCTCAAGACTTTTTAAAGCCACATAACATGGACTCATGCGACTGACTAGAGCTTTGGAGCCTGTGATTTGCCGCTAAAAGTACTGAACAATTTTAGTAGCCTGCTGGACTGCATACTGAAAATGTGAGCAACTGGTGCAATTAACCAGCTTTTTAATTTGACATTAATGTGGCAGCTCTGTATATTTGTATAATTTGCATTTCTGTGCATAACAATTTTTTTTTGTTGTACACCTTCTTTGTTTGCTAATATGTACATGTGCAGAAAGAAACAGGATTTTGAAATTTGAAAGGAAGTTTTTTGTGTAGAGCTAAATTGATGTGGTACTTTAATAGTGTAAACCGGTTCGAATGTATGAAAACTTGTATATAAAACTATTTTCTATTTTTTTAATTGTGTAAATAGAAGTCAAAGGTTTCAATTGTTGAGTGTTTCCCACTTTGTTAAAATACTAAACATTTGAATGAGCCTCGTTTGTTCTCAACCTGCCTTCCCACATGTCAGGATTTATGCAAAAACTTAGGTAATACTTCTGTCTGTTCACCAACACTTGTCTTTATCATCTATTAGTGCATGATCTGTTTCATTTATATATAATATATATATTATATATGTGTATATATATATATAATATTTTCTTCAGAGCTCTGTTCTTTTGTGCCTTTGTGTCTCACAGCCTCTCCTGTTTTACCTTTTACTCCTCTCGGTTCTTCCTCTCCGTCTCTTGGATCTGATCCACCTCCTTCCCCTGCTATTACCCCATCTGGAGGGTCTTCTCACGATTGGTCCAGTGTAGACAGTACAGTGGTCCAGCTGTTAGCCCCACTGCTGAGCGACCAGACACACACTGTGTGTAGCCCTGGATCTGTCCATCTCTTCTGTCAAGCCATTGGTGAGTGAGCATCTGCTAACAAGAACGATTTTTACCTTTTTGCACATTTGTTTGGGAGGGGAAAGGGGAGGAAAAAAAGAATTGGTCCCTTTTACTACTGTGAATCAACTTGTTTTTATCTTGCTAAAGAAGTCTGTTTTGAGTTTGTATATGGGCATGTCAGGTTACAATATTGCAGATGATTGACAGTACAGAGCCATACCCTGGAGTCTTAGTACAAAAACACTGTAGATCTTAAGACTCCAAAACTATATTCAGTGTTAATAACCGTGTTCTTAGTGAAAACACAGTGACCAAGTTTTATAGAGAACTTGATGTGGCTTGTCTCTTGTATCCTTCACTAGGGGCAATGAATCGTTCTTTGATGCTTGGCACCTTACCATAATATATTACTTACTTTTGATCGTCAGCTGAATTATTTTCATAAATGCACAATAAAAGTTGAAATGCAACATTCCCTCGTACGTTTACTAGATGTACATCCCTCGTACTTTATTTGTTGAACAATGAGTATGGTGCAAACAATGCATGTGTTGATTTTTGCAGGTATCTTAGTTTGATTCATTCATGAACGATGCATCCTCATACACCTCACAAACAATTGTAAATATTTGTTGAAGCAATGTCAAAGGTAGTAGTGACATTGTCAGTTAGGAAGGATTGCCCAACAGGGTTCCCAGTTCCAACACCATGACCTTGATCTGTTATGTTTATCAGCTTATATAGTAAATTTGATCACAATGGCTGAATATAATCTCTCAATCTCAAATCATTCACATTTCCAAACAAATCTTTGTTGTAGTTTTGAAGGTGAGCTCAATTCTGTGAATTAGCTTTTTGTTTTGTTATTCGGTTTATCAAGCCTGCCCTGGTCATATTGGAAGACACCAGCCCTTCACATTTGTTCTGGCTATTTCTTTTTCATTTTTTAAAAAAAAACTACCTTCAAAATGAAGCTGAGTATTTTTTCATGAAAGAGGTAGAAACCATTGACTTTATGAATCTATGGTCATTTTTAAGCGTTAGCAATTTACTTCTCTCCTGTAATGTTTCTCACCTGGTACCAAGGGAATTGGTTGGAAGCTGTTCCCAGACACTAGGTATTAATGGATATTGAAACTGAGGAGCACTTGAGACAGACAAGATATTAATGCATATGGAGGTTGGCTTAGTTTGCTACTCAGTTTATTCACTGGGGGGGAGGAGTCAATCCCAACCGTCTCCAGCAATTTCCTACAGACAACTATAACCTGACCTCTAACAGTGCTGGGTGGGGGAGGGAGGAAGGATGGCACCTGGTTTGCTGTCTGTGTCTTAAACCCCTCATAGAACCTCTCACTTGCAGCCTCCATTTCAATTCACTGTACTCTTTCCTCCACCAATTAATAAAGGCCCCACACTCACTCTGCAGTGTTATCTGCCAAGGTATGACACAACCATGTAACCCAGGCTTTGTTCTCTCACCCTCCTGGTCCAGGACCCTCCTCCTGTGAGCCCAAGAGCAGAGAGAGAGAGGCCTCGGGATGGATCAGCTCACAGCTCTAACTCCCTGTCCGCTAGAGGTGCATTACTTGGACCTGCCAACAGGAAGAGGCGGCACATGAGCATTTGGAATAAGGAAGTCTACTCCAGACTTCTCCTGTAGAGCTAAATGGTAGTTTCCAGACTAGCAGTTCCCTCATTGCCAATAATCGTCCAACCGCCCCATGGCATCAGCCACTCCCACTGCACGATATCCACCCTCCAGGCCCATTACCGGGCAGGGATAAACCTTAGGCAAGTTTTCTTACTCCGCATGCCTCTGTACCTAACAGTAAGTAGGATCCTGGTTCTTAGCTAATTGGTGGATCGCTTTCTGAGGTAATAATCGCTTTAAAAAAATTAAGTTACTCAATCCACGACTGTTTGTGTGGCACTGCTGTACATAATTGACTTCCTTGTTTCACCCACAAAATAACCAGTTAATTCACTTTACTGGATATTCTGTGAAGCGCTTTGAGATGTCTCAACAACGTGATAAGGCGCTATATCAAATGCAAGGATTATTATTATTACACCATCTTCAAATGCCATCTAGGACCTAGCCCAGGATGACTTTTCCTTCTGGAGAAGAATACAGCCTCCATTTCATGCCTGGTCAAGAGTACATGTTTGATTGAGAGCAGATTGAAGCTCACTAGCACAAATTCCACTTCACAATGGAGGTCATATGCCAGAATTCCCGAGGACAGAAATTCCACCTGGTCTTTGACCATTTTAATTTAAAATTTAAGATGGTGCTATGCTATATTGCGGAAAATGCTTAGATTTAATTTGGAGGCTGTTTTTCCCGTTCCTAAAAAGAACTGTCTCCTCAACTAAGACTAGATTTAAACTGTTTCTACAACGCAACATTTTCAATTTCAAGACAAAATGGTCTTTCAGGCTGAAACTAAGTAGAATTTCAGACCCCCCGGCAGGCAATGCCATGCTGTCCCTTAAGCAATTGTGAAAGGGGTTTGAGTGATCTCTGTGATCCTGTGCTGTTTCTCGTTCCACTGGATTTTTGATCCTTTGCCCTGGGCTGCTTTGTACAGTATATCAAGTTGGGCATTAATGAACAGTTTCAGTTGCTTCAATTTGACCTTTTTAAATATTGACTCATTTTGGGAGTATTTTAAGTAACATTACTTTGGCACCATTATTATTTGTAATATTATTATTAATGATAATATTCCCTGCATTTGACATAGCACCTTATGTCATCCAGATGTCTCCAAGCACTTCACTTCTATAAAGTGGTGTGACTGTGTATTTTGTGAGCAATTGGGTGAATTCCAATGAACGCAATTGTACTGTGAACCCTGATCACTAATGTGATTACTCACCTAATGCTTCGTTCCCTTTATGTGTATTGGCTTTTTGCGCTAAAATAGCCGACTTTCACGCCTAAGTCGCCACCGACATCACTTCCTGCTTCGTACAGGTGCAGGAAGAGACATTTCTGATGACGGGCTTCTTCTCAAAAGAAATTCACTAGATTTACTGTGAAGTGTAGCGGTTGTGTATTTTGCAGGAAAATATAGCAGTCATTTTCACATAGCAATATTCCCAAACAGCCATGAAGTGAATGACCAATTTTATTTGGGGGATATTTGGCCAGGACACCGGGGGATACTGCTTTCTCTTTTCAAATAGTGCAATGGGATCTTTAATGACCACCCAATCAGGCAGACAGCATGTCAGTTTGATATCTCACCAGAAGAGTGTCAGCTCTGACAATGTATCAATCCTGCAGCACTGCGTTAGCATCAGTTTAGACAATATGAGTTCCAAGTCCCAATATTTGTCATTGTGAATTGCAGATGTGTTGCCCAACATCAGCTGCGATCGCTTGTCAATATTTAGCTTTGTGCATGGACGTCTTTTGAGTTCCTGTACTGCCAGATTTGATTGATTTCACTTTCTGGTCATTGACCTTCATTGCGGCCCGTGTTAGAATAGTCTCCTGTATCTTTATCGCTTCTCTATATTTTGGAAAATTCATGTTATTAATTTGCTATTGAAAACACTAGATTCACTACAACCACAACAACTTGCATTTATATAGTGCCCTTCATGCGGGGTAGTGTCCCGGAGCGCTTGACATTGACAGAGTTTGATGCCGAGCCAGAGGCAGGGGGGAGGTGACCGAAACCACGATCAAAAAGGAAGGTCTTTAGGTGGGAATTGAAGGTGGGGAGGGAAGGAGAGAATTCCAGAGTTTTGGGGTGTAGTGGCTGAAAGCACAGCCACTGATGGTGGAATGAAGATGCCACAGTTTGGTCATGTATCAATGGGTCACAGAATGACAATATTAATTTCTATCCAGAAGTTACAGCTTCCCACTCTGTTGAGTTATTCATGAGTTACAGCTGGTCGTTAGCTTGTGTTTTATCTACTCCTTTTAATAGGGGACGTTGCGAGAGTGGGAATGAGAGATGAATGTGTTCACACTAGCACAATAAATGGTAGTTTTGAGGGAACTGACCTCAAGGTTATCAGATTATTTGCCGTCAGGGGAATGGCCGAATAGCGTCGATAAGGCAGTGATCTCTGTCACTGTGACTAACACCATCAGGATCTGAAAATAACTAGGTGCAGACATTCCAAAAAGATGTGAATATCTTAAATGTATATCCTCAGCAAGAGGCAATTATGTGTTTAGTTTTAGTTTTGATTTTAAAGCACAAAGATCTGAATTTTGTGTCTTTCATGCAATTACGAAGTGAGGAGATGTTATTTTCCAATGGATTATTCTTAGTAAAGCAAAGATGAAATACAGTACCTGACACAGTTTCGATGGAATTAGTATAAAAAAAGGGAAAGTTGTTGCTCACTTTTTAATAAAGCAACATGTTCATAGTTGCCACAAGGGAAGGTTGTAGCTTTTACAAATCATATTGATGTTCAGCTACTGGCTAGTTACTATTTTGATTGGTGAACTGGAAATGTAAATAGCGTAGACCATAATCAGTTCATGATGAAGAAAATAAAAACAATAAGGTAATAATTAGAGTGGTTTCATGAGGTGTCAGTCTGACCCATTTGGTAGCAC